TTGTGTTTAGCCTGCGGTAAAACAGCCTCAAAACAGCCTCATAGAAGTGAGACATTATGAGGCTGACAAGCGTTTTCCCATGAATTGCTACTTCAGTACAATGGCATTTTGTTTGCTGTTTTGTTTCCTTGTCTTCTAACATTCTTTCTGACTTTCAAGGAAAAAAGAAGAAAAAAGAAACCCTCCTATGAATGGCAAAGAAAAGGAAAGAAAAGTTTCTTTTAAACTTTCAACCTTTTTCATTTTGGTACGGGGTACCATGTAAACATTTTTTTTTCTCATGGTAGATATCCCCGGCTGCCCTTCCCTTGTTTTGAGTTTTAAATGACTTTTCTTTCCACATGGCATTGCTTTTGCTTTATTGATTCAGTAAATTGGCAAGGAAAAAAAATCAACCGTGTACACATATTAAGAAAGGGAAGTCAGATGAAGATGGATCTCTCCATCCATCTATCCATCTATCCATTTATCTATCTATCCATCCTGCTACCCACCCGCCTATCTATTAAAATAAATAGCAGCCACTGTACACATTGCTGGTTGGCTGAATTTGTGATCTAGACAAAAGGTCTGTTTGGGAAAAGGATGCTGAAGCTCTAATTCTATTTGTGCCGGTTGAAAATCAGAAGGGGTTTTTCTACACTTCACGTTTATTAGATTATTTCTTATAGATGGTTTCTTTTTTCCTCCCAGACGCGTGGTGGAGGCTGCTGAAGCAGTTGGTCTATAGTTGGAATAATCAAATTAACCATTTGGTACAACTTTTAGGGGAGAGCTCGCGTGTAGAAAGCACAACTCGAACAAAACAGGGGGTTGGAGCTGGTGCTGTCAGGCTTGGCCCGGCCCGAGCGCCTTTCATCTTCAGAGGCAACGAAGAAACCCGGCCACAAAAGAGGGGCGGGGTGGTTGGGGCAAGAGGGACCCGAGGGGGAGGTTGTTACACTGGAAAATAAACCTACACATATTACAAAGGGGAAAATGAAGTCAAGCGCATTTGCGCATCGGACCGTGAGGCTCAGACTCTGAAAGATCCAGCTCCTCCACGTTCAATGAGTGGGATGGAAAGGGAAAGTCAGGCCTGCCCGCAGGCCAGCCCTGCTAGCCCACTCTGAGCTCAGGGCACGGCCGGGGCCAAGACGGGGAGCCGCGAGGGGGCAGGAGCACGAGGAGCGGAGAAGGAGGTGATCCCGAGACAGTCCCTGAAAGGCTCTGCAGAGGCCTGGGCGGCTATAGTGGGGACCCGCGCGGCTCCCGGAGACTGGCTTAGCGGAAAACTCGGGTCTCCCTCAAGTGGCTAGGGTGGGGTGGTGGCAAATTAGCGCTTCGACTTCGGAGGTGTTTTGCTACATATAGTCATTTCAACTCTACCCGACCTCTCCTCCCACCCCCACCCCCATCACAATACAACTTCTTTGCTCTCCGAGCCTCGACCCCACTGCACGAGACACTAGAGCTCTCCGGCCCAGTCGCCGCACTCTTCCCCCATCCCCAGCCCACATGCAATCTTCAGCCTTTACCGTGGGAGCCAGAGAGAGAGAGAGAGAGAGAGAGAGAGAGAGAGACCGACAGACAGAATGACAGACACAGCATCAGATTTGCCCAGAGCTTCTCGGTATCATAGAGACTGGAAGGACGCTGGGGCCATGCCAGTCTGCAGAGTGTACAGGTGCTCTGGCGCCATAAGGGTTTGGAGTGGAGTTCCTCTGAGCACATCACTCATGTTCCTTATTCTAACCCCCTCCTCAGGCGGAAACCAATAGGCAGTAAACTGATTTGGGCGGAGGAGAGCGAGGCAAAGAAGAATGATTATCATTGTTATTTCCGATCATAGACCACAAATCCAAACTCTCTCTCTCTCTCTCTCTCTCTCTCTCTCTCTCTCTCTCTTCTTATCTCTGTTACCCACCCCAAACTCTTATAGACACATTCTCTCAATGTGTCTTTCTGTCTTCTCTTTGCGACCCGCTTCCGTCCCTTATTTCTTTCTATTTTTTTTGCCACCCCCACTTCTTTATCTCTACAGACCTCTATACCAATCTGTTTCGATTCCCTTCTTTCATTACCCTTCCCCAAGGTTTGACTCCTTTCTCTTCCGATGTCTCTGTCTCTCTCTGCTCTCTGCTCTCTGTCTCTGTCTCTGTCTCTGTCTCTCTCTGTCTGTCTTTCCCTCTGTCACTCTCTCTCTCTCTCTCTCTCTGTGTATATATATATATATATATATCTTTTTCTCTACTCACTAGCCCCACTACCGCCCCCCCCAAAATATACGTGTACACAGAACCAAAATCAACCTGAAGTCAGGAATCCTTCTGCGCCCCAGAAAAGGGTGCTTACCTATCCAGGTTGAGAAGTTCGACCTTATCTACTTTTCTTTCCCAACCAGCCTGAAACTAATTCACCTGTCGATAAGAAAATTCAGGAATTGGGGTGATGAGGAATTTTTTTTTAACCTAGGAAACGGAACTCCAGAGGGAAGGGAGAAAGAATTAGACAATTGGAGCCTTGTGCATAGGGAGGCAACCCTGCGCTAAGGGTGCAGGGTGGGAAGGGGTGAAGGGTGGGAGGGTAGGGGGAATTCCATGTGTGGTTTCCAGAGGTGAATAGTTACCTCCCGGACCCAAATGCGTATTCATATTCATGAGCGCGCTGATAAATAAAGACAAATCCCCTCTGTAATAACACTTAGATTCACATCCGTCTTTGCTGGCCTTTAGGTTTAGGGGACTGAAGACAGATGTTTGCGTCGCTTTTCTCCGCTTGTCTGGTGACCATAAAGAAAAACCATTTAGAGTTCTGCAATTTGTTTCCCGCCGCAGTAAAACCTTGTTCGCATTTATCCTCATTTCGCCTGAGCACAAAAAAAAGTGTACACAGGCCACCAAAGGCCGTTCTTTATCAAATACACATCGTACAACATGCAACTGCAATAAAACTATCAGACTTCCCCATAAAACTATCAGCGGGCTCCTCACTGGCTGCTTAAGAAGCTTTCTCTCCCCGGGCTCCTGCTCGCTCTTTGTTACTGCTCACTTCCCTCGGTCCCTTAGTGGCCACCACCTAAAGCCAACCTGAAAAGGACCAGCACAGGGAAGAAAGAGGGGAGGGGGCAAACCTGACATTGTTTTAGTCCATTGCCACTTCCGAGTCGTTCGAATGGGCCACAAAAGGTTGTCAAGCTGAGGAAGCAGGA